TGATTTACTTTTTTGCTATCTTTGATTGGTTAACCCAGTCAGGACACTGCAGCTTTTTATTTTTAGGTATTCTTTTATTAATATTATATCCTATCTTTTGTCCTCTTGCAAGCAACCCAAGGGAAATCACATAATCCACTTTTATCCTCACAATAACCCTGTGATGCAATTTAGGGTTTGGGCTTGGCTCAAAGTGAGCTTCATGGCTGAACCTGGATCTCCCAAGCTTCAGTCCAACACTCTAACCACTATACCACGCTGGCTCTCTCAGCATTCTTAATGCTCTTAAGGACTGGCATTGTTTCTACAACCACCTTCACTTCCATCTGTGGCTAGGAACATTCGTCTGTGACTGGGGGTGGGGGGGGGCAGGATGAATAAGTAAACTATCATTTATTTCAGTCTCCCTCCAGCAGAAAATAGCTTTAAAGACAGGATGTAATAGCAACTCTCTTCCTGGCTGTGTATTTATGGAGAAGATGCTTGGAGTGACTTGAAAAAGATTCTGACACGTACACATGCTCTGACAGAGAGGGGAAGGAGGTGTACAGTGTCACACTGAGAAAAACAAAAGTGTGATCATGAGCTATAGTAAACACGCCCTCTTCTGGGATTTGCCAAGTCCAGGGGAAGTGAAGGATGCTTACAGAAGTGATACTTCCTGCCTATCTCTCGCTGCATCATCTCCAAGCTCAGGTTTACGGAAACTCTTATGCTGTGTAATAACAAAGACCAATGATTCGCAGACATACAAAGAGACACATTGCCTTTGTTTGCCAAAACTGACAGGAGTGAGTGTGCACGTTCAAAATTGATTTTTAATATAAAAAAGCTGCACTGAAACCCATCATGAAAGAAATCCAAATTATATTAATGTTTGTTTTCCATTAAGTTGATCAATCCAGTCATGCTTTATTATGACTGCATTTTTGGAGAACAGACATATGCTTCACACACGGTATTTGGGACTGAGAAGCAGCAATAGGCAGCCAAGAGAAAAGACTGGGCAATTTGAGGATGCAGCAAGACTACCGAATCGGGAAAGCTTAGAAGGGAAGATATGAAGGCTTCCTAGCACTTCACAAAGACTGAAACTTTATCCTAATCAATGCCTAATTTGCTGTGGATTGCCCTTCCCAATAAGGTCTTCAAATGCCTACATTGCTATCTTTTCAATGCCAGGTTAAAAGCTTCCTCTACTCCAATGCATTTGAGTACACATCATGAGGCATTTTGTGGGTTTTAAAAAACCAATTTTGGAAATTTTGTCAATTTTTCAACTTAAACTCTATTAAACTGTCAAATGTTAAAAGTTCTATCCTTCTGTGGATTGCCTAGAGAGCTTTAGCTATCAGGTGGTATAGAAATGGTTAAAAACAAACTAACAGCTCCTTTTGCTTGTCCCCTACTTTCCATTTAAAAAGAAGAAAACCCAGACAATTAAAAGGCATATTAAGAAAGGTTGCATTCTTTTATGGGACTATACTAGTGCTCGTTCAAGCAAGAGGCACATCTTAGATCTGCTCTGCTGCTCAATAAACAGGTAGCACCAATGGCCCTTGGTGCCCCTCCCATTCCGACTATTGCAATGAACTCTGCAAGGGGCTGCATTTGAAGAGGGTTTGGTAATTGAATGAACAGTGCTCTGGTACAGCTCCTGGGCTGCCTAGGAGGCAAGGGAATTGCCTCTGGGAAAGCAGGCTACAAAACAAGCGTGCTAGGCTTAAAAATGTACAAGACCCTTTGTTGTTTTAGACCTAGGGAAGACACTCTATTCAAGTAAGGATGGCAAGAGCATCGCCTTGATGTGCTGCTAGGTATCAGCTGCTGCAGAGCAGCAACACAAGCAGCCTCTTTCCTTTGCAGCTTGCTTATGGGCTTCACGGAGGCCAAGACAGAAAAGAAGATGTTAGACTAGCTATTTTTACTGGGGAGCTGGGCATTTTATCAGTGGATTCCTCAATCTATCCTATTATTGTCCTGAATTTATTGCTGTGATTGCATCTAGATTATTTTTAAACTGCTTCCAAATGGAATGCCCCTTCAAGTCAGGCCCATCCTAAAACCATCAACCCTGGCCCCCACCTTACAGAAGCCCAGATCAAAAAATACATGGAGCTACCCCAAAAGTACAAAATAGCTCAATTCATTTTTCAACAACCATCCAGCTTCACTTTGCGAGACCACTGAGCTTTTCATCCTGAGATGGAAGGGAGATCAGATCTCTCTCTTTCCATGGCTATAACAACCCTTCTCAGTAATTCTTGTGTAAAGTGGACGAAGGGGAAACTGGGCAAATGAAAGGTATGAACTTTCATAGAGCTATGAAAACTAGGAATTGTTCTCTGGGTCAGATGTGAGTTGCTACTTTCAAGTTAGTTTACAAGTCAGCAAAGCTCATATGCACACAGTCAAGGGTAATGAACTTCTCTGTACTTCTGTCCAGGTGCTACTTACGGTAAGAACATGCTGAAAATGCTTAATCAATACATACGCAAATACTAACACAAAGCTACACAGGTGGAAAAGGTGGTCCACCTGTGTCCAGCTATGTGCAGCTATGCATGGCTTCTCATACTGGAGACACAGGAACTTTTTACTCCACTATCACATGGCAAGTGTACTGGGTTGCCCTTCAAACACGTATACTCATGTTATCCATTGATATTACCCAGGACTTATCTGGCTGCCACAAAAGTCACCTTCTTCCTTTGAACTTGCTAAGGAGATGGTGACATTGCAGTACCTAATGCAAGAACACTCCCAAGTTGCTCCAAATGCCTTCACTGCATCAATAGGATCATTACCAAGGAAGTAAAGCAGAATCCACTTTATTAATTAAAAGGAGGCAGTTCTTGCATTACATTGCTCAGTCCTGAGAACCCTTAGCTTTTACTCATGATCCACCTATTTCTGTAGATTGCTTGAAGTGTTAAATGTTTAAGAAGTTTTTTCTTTACAATTAAAATTGTTGCACATTGAAGGAACTACAGTGAGCAAATAGTGATAGCTACTATTATGTTATCTTTTGCCTCCCCATTACATGACCTTTAATGGGACATCTCACTCAAGAGAAATGAGAAAGGCCTAGACCTCTGTCACACTGCACTACTTCCTACACAGACCACTTGGGGGGTCAATGTGACATTTCCTGAAAGCCACAGGAAACATTCTTTTAAGACCGTTCATTCAGACACACGTGCCTCAGAGCAGGAAGAAGGCAGTGGAAGTTGAACTGGCTGACGTAAAGGCAAGGGTTACGTACGTGCCTTGCTGGTTTCCCTAGAGGGCTTCTGCCTGTTTTCAAAACAATGGCATTACTTCCACAACAAGGCTCATGGTTCTACCTTACTGGTCGTAGGGCAGCATCTGTTGCACAATTAAATCATTTGACCCCCCCCCCCAGCCAAAATTGTAATTAGAGGAATGAAATAATTCTCCTCCTCTTCTCTGAATATGCTATGCATACTTATGTCACATGCTTTAACTCAGCAAGGGAAGATGAGGCTGTGACCACCCAGCCCTGGGCTGATGTTACCCAATAATAGGCAGATGTTTTCATGAAACATCTCCCTTCCTTGCAACTCCAGATGTTCCAAGTCACAACAGCCTTCCAAGGCATCAGCAACCACCATCACTCCAAGTGCATACAATGCTTTTGCCTTCTAGGTATTTGAAGATTCCTTAGCCATAGTGCACACTTTTCACCTTAGCCCATAAGACAATTCAAATCCAATAGGGTTTTATAAGATCCAAACAAATTTGTTGCATCAGGCAACTCCAACCCACACTTGCAGGTCTCTCTTTATCTTTGTGTTCTCTGCCTGATATTTTCCCATCTTCATCTCTGCCTCAATGAAGATTGTTTCTTGCCTTAGGTTCTTTCCAGTTTGCTAGGTTCACATGAGTAAAGAACAGGAAAAGTACAATCCTCTAGATACTCTAAGACTGCAATTTCATCACACCATGCCACTGGCTGTGCTGACTGGAAAAGATGGGCATTGCAGTTCACCAACTTCTGGAGGGCCACAATCTGTATATCCCCTTGAGTGACTGCATAAAATAATATTCCTGGAAAGGAAACGGTGTTGCAGAACAGAATGGAAGTCAGAACAAGGGTGCCCTTCACCAGAATGATGCAAGTGGTGAAAATAACTCATTAAGCATCCTATTTTCCAACTTATGCCTGAATATGCCTCCTCCATCAACTCCAGGTTGACCAACTTCCTTGCAGGGCATTAGTTGGCACCTGACAGGCAAGAAAAGTCACCAAAGGAGGTCAAATATAATCCTGAGCTGAAGACATTCCAGAGTGTGCTCTATTCCAGAGTGTTATAATTTGGGCATCACATTTTTTTTAATAAATTCAGTAAGAGAGCTTTGAAAGTTCTGTTCATCTTGCACACTTTCACTCTTCCCATTTTGTGAATAACTGGACCTGTATATAACATATTTTTCATAAAGGGGAGGCCAGCAGACCTATTAACCTAAGAAGCACAGGTTGAGGTCTTACAAAGCTATCAAAGCACATTTTTGCCTCTGATTGTAATATTACTTAACCAGATGCACTTCCAACAGGAGGAAGGGAGAGGATCTTGGGTCTTGTAGTCTATGCAGTCCTAGGGAAAGCAACTCCACTGCTTAAGAATGACTGCAATGGACACATACGCATTAAATGAACATTGAATATGCATTCTGCTGTTTAGGTCATCAGTATGTGGACAGGCTAAGAACTGAGACAGACCGTACACTGAATGACAACTTATAGACAGAGTGCTGGAGCTCTTATCCCTGGATGCCACCCAACTTTCTGGAGGAAACAGGTAAGATTCAAAGAAAGGAGGCCAAAGCGGTGCCAGCCTTCCCCCACCGGGATCCCTAAAGAGGTTTGACTACCACACTAGCGAGGAAGTCCGCCACACCTGGAGGGCTCCAGGTCCAAGAAGGCTGCACCACCTCAACATGGAAAGAGCCCCCTGGCTCTAAGAGAACGTGCTTACCACAGTGAGGTAAAATCAACAAACTCAGCTGAGAACTTGTCCGCCGGGAGCTGTGGAGATGGCTCTTCCACCACCTGTTTGAGCTGCTGGAACGGCGTCCCCCAGGAATCGTACGGAAACCGCAGAATTGCCAGTTCAATCTGGGTGAGGGGAGAAGAGAGCAAGGGAGCTTCCTGAGGATCCTTAAGGTATCTAAAGCACAGTCCAGAGCGACGATGCACGAATGCAGTTGCCTTCCTTACCAAGGCTAGCACATGCTGCCATCTGCAGGCCAGTCTCTGAGATGACACTGAGATGTCACTTCACCATCCTCAAGCTGAGCTGCTCCCCCCACCCCGCTGCCTTTGCGTTGTTCCTTGGAAACGCCGCTCTTTCAGTGCCTCCGAGGCACAGCCTGTGCACGTCCCTGGAGACAGCGTGTCTCTGGGAATATTTTTCAGCGCAGCAGCGTGTGAGTCCAGTTCTGCTGCTTCGTGCCATGTACGCACAGCCTCCCTAGAGGATGGCGAGTGCCAGGAAAGAAGTGCCCTCTCCCCCACACCCCACCCATCCAAGCTGTTGCAACAGGAGGAGACTAACAATTCCCAGGAGAACTATTCTGACGGGCCAACAGAAATCTGAGGTTTGTTCTGAAGGCAGATTCCCTACCACAGGCCTGGCGCCAGCTGGAGAGGAACAGAGAGAGATCACTGCTGCGGGGCATTTGCTTTCTTGAACTTCACGGATAAACCATGCATGCACGCTGCTGACTAGTTTCTGGATATTTATCAGAAGCATTGTAAAAAGGAGGCGTGAATATTTCTCAGGGACTAGCATAGTGGCGAACAGCTGTACCTGCCAAAATTCAGGCAGCCAGTACTGAAGTCAGCCTGACCAACCGTAGGCCCAGCCAAACCAGTCACTACTTTAGGAAATGGCCTACCATTGTTACTATTCCTTTCTAGAGATGGAATAGTAACCATGTTATCTGCCATGTTTCATTTTCTCCTAATTTCTACTTTTTCCAGTCTTAAATTCAGTTCATTTCAAGCTCTGAGTGTCACTTTGTAAAGTCTGCAGAAAACTTCCTAAGTGTTTTTTGTACATATTTATTTACTGTTATTTTTATATCTTGCCATTTTATCTCCAATGAAAAACCCCAAGTGGTTTCCATGCTCCTCCTCCTTCCCATTTTATCCTCACAACAACCCTGAGAAGTTGGTCACGGTGAGAGCCAGCTACTGGTCTAATATTACGTATTAAGTTTCATGGACAAGTAGGGACTAGAACCTGAATCTCCCAAGTCTCAGTCCAATACTCCAATCACATACATCGGCTCTCCAAATGAATGTATTTCTGCCTAATATACACACTGCGGAAAGTAATTTTTGCAATATAATGAAATTAATGTTATTTGAATATATGAATGCTTGTATACATTTTATTGAAAAATTCCCCCTTGTAAAATTTGGAGAAATACACAGTGGTTTGAATGTGCAAATCAGGTAAATCTGCACTTAAATGTGAAATGAATGAATTTCTCCCCTGAACATCTTCGTAATGCCATTGACTGTCAAACTGTGGTCTGGTGGGCAGAAGAAAGAAGTATCCTTGAAAATGGGCTTTTTCCAGAGAATTTCTCAATGAACTCTTACTGGAAGTTTCCCTAAAAGGCTGCCTCCTCATCATGACCAAGCATCTCTGGTACTGCACAACAAACAAGGAAATGCTATGCATCTGCAATTCATGAAAGGAGCAGTGTGATATAGCAGTTAAGAGTAACTGGAACATGGATTCTAGCATCCACTTAGCCATGGAACTCCCTGGCTGAACTTGGGCCTAACCTATTCTCAGCCTAACCAAACTCAGCAGGTTGTTGTGATTAAACTGAGATTCAAATGGAGGGAGGAACACATAAGCCACCTTAAATTCCTTGCAAGAGGGGCAAAAGTTGATATATACAAATTTTTTAAAGGGGCTGATGCTGAGTTAACTGATGCCTTTTTGCAAAGCCAGGACCTTGAAGAATCTTGCTGCTCTTGCCAGATGATCTAGAAAGTGTTCTCAGAAGGAAGAAAGTCTGAAAAGTTTTATTTATGTATACAGTAAAAAGTGTTCTTCAGCACTGATCCTCCACTCACATTTTGCTGTTCTACAAGAAAAGTCTTTCCCAAGTTGGTGTACCCAGACGTCTTGCATTACAACTCCCAAAATACAAAGGCATGCTTGAAGAAAAGGCTAGAGTATGGTTGGCTGTAATCAATGTCTGGACACACTACAGGGCCATGATCTAATAGAAGTGGGTTGCACAACCAGCACTACCGCCATGCAAATATAAGGCAAAAAATGGAGAAGTGGGTCTCAGATGGGGTTGTGATGATCCTCCTCAGAATCCAGCTCCCTTCTGCACACTAGACTTCTAATGCTTGGTCCTCACAAGCTGAGCTGAGAGGAAGTCTGCAAATTCTTGTCAAAGTGCAGGTGTGCAACCGGAAACCTCTTTCTGCAGCACGTGGAACACAAAGGCCACAGGTCACGTGCACAGGAGAGGGATGCTGCTTGCACAGTGATCACTTACATGGACTCGCCTCCTGGTAGATGGATGCACAACACCAGGAAATCAGACTCACAGCTGCAAGAAAGCCGGCCAAACTCTGCAGAGCTGACTCCAGGGAATCTGATGGATTCTCAACCCCCAAAATGGACTCCTCATATATCCCTAGTCTCAAAGCATCCATTTGGACTAAATGTCCATTCCAGGTGTTGAAAGACTGAAGAGTACTCTTCCAGGCCCCCTGGGGCACTTTCATACAAACCCTGGTCTCTTCAATAGCCTTTCTTCTTCATTTATGTTTAAATGATCAGGCTTTCCATTCCGTAACATCAATTCTCATGCTCCCAGATTGTGTAATACTAAGATGCATTTACTTCTGTATGGTGATGATGCTATCTTGCTGTCACTTTCCAGAAGTGGATTAAATCATTTACTATCTGCATTTGGAACTGATTGCTCTAAGAATAGCCTGACTATGAATTATAATAAGTCTAAAGTCCTGGTGTTCTCTAAAGCTAGAAAACCATTTAAATGAACTTTAAATGGCAACATCATTAAGCAAGTTTCCCATACAAAGTACCTAGGAATTCAAATGCAGAACCCCTCTACAACACAAATTTATAAAGCAAAGACTTTGGCCCATCTTATTTATGCCATCCCTATTTGGATTTTGGGATTTCACTCCTAAACAAAGTCCAGTCAGTCAGTCAGTCAGTCAGTCTGCCTGCCTGCCTGCCTGCCCCTCTCTCTGTCTCTCTCTCTCTCTGTCTCTCTCTCTCTCTCTCTCTCTCTCTCTCTCTCTCTCTCTCTCTCT